GGTATTAATAAACATAAAAACATGTTGAATTATCTATTTACATGTTTGGTAAATGAGTTATATTTATCTCTATGAAAATATGAAATAGTATGATTTTAATCATAAAAGTATCAGTGAAGAAAATGAAATAAAAATCATAACATTACAAGGTATTTCTCCCGCCTTCCTAGCGTGCCTTCGTGGTGTAGTGGTTCTGCACGCTGGATCGGTATTTCAGAGATCCGTGGTTCGATTTTCGGCGAAGGCGTTGCTCCTTTTTTACACATCTCCTGCTTTCAAAAAAATACCTAATGTCTCTACAGTATAAATTTATATATATATATATATATCAGCAGCTAAAACCTACGACTTCAAAGTTATGGTAGAAAGGTTTTTGAATCCCAGATAACATTAAGAAGATCTGATTTGTGATTCTTTTAAAGATTATATTATATGACCATCAATATAATACATTTTACTTAAATTCTGCAAGAAAAGCTTTGAGCTGTCGATGACTGAATCCATTAGACGTAATAAAGTTCGATTTATTAATTTAGCTTCCAATCACCGTGGCAAATAGTCAGAGCTTTGAGCGCTGTAATTCATTCGTAGCGTAAGATTTTTAGTTCGAAGATTAAAAGATTTTAATTAGAAATTAAACTTTAGGTGCTTAACAAAGTGAGCGATAATAAATATACTTTTTAAACTTTATGTCTTCTTTTTATTTTTAATGTTAAATCCGTATGATGTAATTTATAATCCATTTAATTATGTAATTATAACGTATCCAACTAATTTATAACATATCAAGTTGATAACTTTATGAACGTTCCCATCATCATTCTAATTAATAACATATGTTTCTAACGTCAGGTATTACGAACCTCCATACAGAATAATCATTGGTCGCCAATTAACTTTAAGTTTTATTTTACGTAGAATATTCTTTTTTCTAAATTCTAAATAGTTATAGATGGGCTGAAATGAAAGCCGGACTATGAACGCAAAGGTAATCTTCCGAAGTTCATCATGGAAAGTTTTATCTTGCAGGTGCAATAATTTGAAGGCTTTATTCAATCAAGGTGCGATTATTAAATCCATGATTTTAACCTGAACCATCACTTAACAATATTCATTAAAAAATCAAGTAGTCGAATAGTTCTTCGTAAGAAAATAGCACGCACTTTCCGGGTGAGACTATTCATGTTCTTAAAATTGTTCTATCAGCAACACACGGCCTTCGATTTAAGCACGCAAACACGCTATTTAGTACTCTTGTCACGAAATAAGCCAACTTCTTCACGTCTTATTTTATAACGACTGCTTCGATTGTAGTTATTTTTGTTACAACCTAAATTGCTAATTAGACGATATGTATAGAAAATAAAATTTTAACGCCGTAGTGCCAAAGAAGATTTCGCCAGAAACCATATGGAAGTATGTTATTAACTCAGTTCCACAAGCGAGTTTAACTTTTAACACTAGAAAGACTGAAACTTAGTATATACCTATATTGCCCCAAAAAAGCAGTTAAGATGACTCCATTTGTGAAAGAATAACTAATGTGTAAAGAAATTTGTTTAAAATTAATTTTTAATATTATTTACTATGTATTAGCAATAAAAATATTACCTCACTTGGAAAAAAATAATTTATGCATTATTTGTACATTTTAAGCAGATGAAAGTGGAAAACGTTTTATGTGTACATCTTCCGCAAACATACTTTTGACATTTTTCACATATATTATTTGTTTTGTTATTGTGGCAGAGTCGTACTTGACAAATTTTTCGTTTGTTAGAAATATGTTGTATTTGATGATGTTGCAGCTGATCTTTGTGGGTCTTCATCTTCTGATGAATTTTTCTGTCTTGCAGCTCTGTAATCGGTGGAAAGCTGTTCTGATAATTGAAACAAGAACTGTTTTCGTTGTATTTGTATTCCTATCGCTTCTTTGTCCAAGCATTTATAGCAGCATTTTGATCTAAGCACTTATATGCAGCATTTATATGCATTTATAGCAGCATTATATATATATATATATATATATAATGTGTGTGTGTGTGTGTGTGTGTGTGTGTGTGACCACAAATGAAGGAGTGGGGAGGCAACTACAATGAGTAATAAACGCATTTATATGTTGTAAAAAAAGTCACAAAATTATAAGTAGCTGTTTCATTATATACATAATTGTTTTTCTAATTGAAATTGAAAAGCAGTCAAAATTACTTCCTTAGGCAATCTAGTGTTAAAGGTTTTGAAATGAATGAATCAAAAACGTCCCCCAGCATATGACAAAACTAATTTGTGAAAACCTGGCTTTACAGAAAAATAATCTTTTAGATATTTTTTTACTGACAATTTTCTTTATCACTGGCGGATATATAATACTAATAACAAAAAGAACAATGGTGTATTTCGCAAACATTTAATACAGCATTTACATAACAAACAACTTTTTTCCTTAATGTAATTATCATTTCAGGGGTGCACCGCTTTTAAAAATTATTGATCCCAGGATTTTTATTAATTTTTAATAATGATTTTCAGAGCTTTGAAAATTAATTGCAAATGCATAATATTTCACTTAAAAAGATTATCTTGGGTCTTTTCTATTATAAGACAACAAGGATAAAAAGATTTTCTGCGGAAAGATATTTGCACCAATTTGATACGCCCAGAGAGAAAATATTCATTTAATATTTATTTATGCGAATTCATGTGGAGACGCCAAAATAATCATAAAAGCCCATTTGAACAAATCTTAGCTGACATTATTGCCTATTGGCTATTTTTAAATTACATGCATTTTTCTTATCTCTTAGTGTTGTCAATAAGAAATTTTTAAAGAATGTCATTCTGTTTAGCTCTTTGTTCTCTGAAATAACTAATGTGAGTGACATATTTTTTACGTTTAGTAATATTTTACTACCATGTTCTTAATGGAAAATATGCAGTAACTGCTTACACTAAAACCCACATGATAATATATTCCATATCAAAGTAACTCATATTTTTGTATAGCAAAATCAATTAAACTGTAAAAATGTACTGAACACGGAATTCGAAGGAAATACTGTAGAAAACATAGTACATTATCCCACGTAAATAAAATCTTTAGAGTGCTATGTAAAAACAAAATCAGGAAAGTATATCAAAAACTAATAACTAACACTAATCAATAATGTATATTTTTTTGCTCACATTTAATCCATTGGTTGTTCTTTTTCCTTGTTAATTGACCCTTTGATTACAGTATTTTACATCCGGTTTCAAAAAATTACATTTTAAGGTCTTGCATCTTCAGTTTTGCGGTACATCCATCTGATCTTTCCGGTTTATGAAACTGATCTTTCAGGTTTACAAGTTCGTTAAGCAACCGAGCCCACCAGCGACCGTGCGTAAAGTCGCTGAACACTGGTAGCTCGGTCCCCGTTGTTCGAATCTCGGCGAACAGGCTAACGGCATGGGCGTTTTCGTGGTTTTCGCCATGTGTACCGTGTATACAAGCAAGTTTGCCTTAAAAAAATTCTTTTACGAAGGCACCTCTCCTTTTAGGTAGATAGCCCTTGAGTACTTTGCCGTAATAGTAAACCAAACCATTAAGCAACTGAAGAGGTTTTTGTAACGCAGCTGTAAAATACATGAAAGACTGTTTCTTTCAGGTCAGGTCAAGCAGCAGAAATTCTTGCTACTTTACTTAAATTTCACTCTATTAGATAACTGTGTTAGAAATACTGTCCTCCTCCTGCTGTTATGCCTAAAAGTTGTTGGCAAATATGATAACGCCTAGTAAAATTAACGCAGTGCTAATCAATAAAATTTCGACTTATATTAAAACCTAAAGCTCCTGAATAAAATAAAATTAAGTAATTCGAAAAATTAGGCAACTGAAAGTAGAAGAAAGTTCAGGGACGCCATATCTCTTAAAAATAATGTTTGATAAGGGTCAGCCGCATCCTTGGATACTGCTGGATACCTTAATTCATAAACCCTGTTTTAATCATAAAGATTCTTATCCAAATGGTTTTGCATCAGTACTATTTTTGAATAGTGCTTTTTCATTTCAGTTGTCATATTTGACCATGTAGGTTAAAGTAAGGATCCATTCAGGAATAATAGCACCCGAGGAGCACGCGGAAAAATATTTCAAAACGTAACAATCTGTGCTTGATTCTTTTTAAAGTTTTATTTGATTGTTTATTACTGTAGCTCTAATGATTAATCCTAAATTCACTGTCAGAGAAAACAAAACACTCCGCAAAATGAGTTTCTTTTCCTTTTTTTTTTTTTTTCATATTTAGTCATAATAAATTATTCAGTAAAAGTAAAATAAAGAATAAATATTTCTGGCATGGGAGTAAAACTAAACAGAAATTGTATAAATGAACATATTCTTAATATATGTATATCATGAAATATTTCTTAGTTTGACAAAACGGCAGTTGATACTTTGTCTTTTGTACAAAATGTCATTTTACATAAGTCATTATCTATGTGTTTCTACATGTAAACAAGTAGTGCTCTTTGGGTTAAGATACGAAAAGATAAAGCTGAAATGATTAAAAAAATGCTAAATTATTTTTAAGAAAAGCGTTAATCCGCTTTAATAATGAATTTTGTTTCTTTTAGTTTGAAGATATATTTATCCAAGGAAAAATAATTTATAAACTAACAACAAAAAATCAAGAAAAAGGTTGCGGCTTCGGATTTAAAATTTAAACACTAAATAAAATTTTCTGTGACATTTTAGGAAAGTTTCTCTATATGTATAAAAAAAAAAAAGAGGAAAGAAAGAAAACGCAGCAGAAAAGCTAATTTCATTGCTTGTATGCCTACATCTTTACATACATTATCACTTACATGGAATTCAAAATTACACTTGGAAAATTTTTTAATTAAATCAACTCTTTTTAATTATTCTTTTAATAATGATATTTTAAATATATGTAAAATAAAAAGCTGAGGAAACACACTGAGTTCCTAGAATATATAAGACAATGCAAATAAAAACAACGAACCTGTTATAATCTATCAAGACAGGAGAGCTGCTCTAAGCCCGCTGCATATCACGCTACAAAATCTGCGCGTCTGACTTTAATCCCTCAAATCAATCTTCACAGGTTGCCTGATGCTAGTGGGCATGCGCCAGATGAGGCGGAAGAAATAAAGCATCGCGCATTCCCTAACTGGGTTATTAAGACATTATCGGAAGAAATTCTTCAAATTATGAAAAATACAAAACCTTTCACATATGTTTATAAAATATGCATTGTCTCTGGAATTCATTTCCTCCTTTTTTAATGGTTTTTTTTTTTTAGAGAAAATGGAGATGAATGGCTTCGAAAAAGTTTATGGAAGTGTGGTATGTGCATTTACACGCAAACGTGGATGAAAAATACTTTCTCAAATGTCAGCTTAAATACACTACTAACATTCAGCGGCTTTTTATTTAATGCACATGCAGAAGAATATAGTGACATTTTTTTTCAGCGGGAGAACTAAATTATAATTTCAAATACTTGGATTACACCAAGTTATATATGAATACCTACACCAAGTGTTATATGTGAATACCTGATGCTAAGCTTTTATTTAAATTAAGTAATTTCGCTAAGAGGTCTGACTTTGACATTGTAATTCTATTAAAAATATTGACAAAATAACAGTAATTAAATAATAAGTTAATATATTAATTACAGGGAATGTAACCTGGATTTTAAAAAAGGAGCTTGCTTCTTAGCATCAAATTTTTAAAAAGTGATATTACGGGATGGAAGTTAGCTTGGCATGTATTCAAAAGTTGGCTATAGTATTTTCGTATTAATAATATTAACTTTTGCTTAGCGTTATGAAACAATGAAATGAGTATAATAAAAAATTTAAATTCACCAGTTTTGGGAAAATGGAAATCTTTTAAGTTAAGGTTTACAAACAATTTACATCGAAATATGTTTGATTTATGCAGATAGTATTAGTTACAATCAGATAATTAATTACTGAATCGTTTTAGAGCTAATAAAAATGGGCTTTCGTAAAGTTGAGGCTGATACTGGTCAAATCAGCAAATCACATTAAGTGTCACTCTTATTATTACAAATACTGCTAATGCTTATATAAAGTATGAATTCACGTAAATTTATTTTTTCTGTCTCAATGGGAAAACAAAGAGCATCCATCCCAAATAATATAGAAACTCTAATAATCGAAGGACTAATTTAAATACTCAAATTATTTGCGCTTTAATTAACAACTCAGGAAAACTGGTTTAGAAGAGCGACATTTCCCTGCGTTCAGAGAGCTCATAAGTGTGCTACCCTTAACTCATTTTCAATAACTATTTCCTCTTCATGAAATTCATACGAACTTTTAAAATTGAAAGCCATATCCGTGCTAAACTGTAACATTTTCCTCTCATATTTAAATGTATCACTTTTATCCATTTTTTTGGAACCAGCCCGATGATCAAAGCTTCTAAATATCAGTTCTTCTCGTCTTGTGAAGAAATATATATATATATATATTATATATAATCTATCAAGCATTTTAAAATTTTATTGCTTTTGTTACCAACTATTTATGAAGTTTTACAGTTACTTTCATTTCTTTAACATCATATCGTTTCTTGATCGCTTGTGTGTGAAATACCATAAATATGTTCTAATGTTATAGCCAAGGCTTAATTTCTAAAATTAGAAATGCTAGAGATCTATGGAAGGCTGTCAGGAACGGTGAATAAACACAGATCAATGAAATAATAGGGATTACCAGCGGCCGCGTGGTTAAGTCGCTGAGCACTGTTAGTTCGGTTCGGGATTCGAAACTCAGCGAAAGGTCTGGCTGCATGCGCGTTTTCGTGGTTTTCCTTAAGTGCAACATATATACGAGTCAGTTTATCTTAGGAAGTCCGGCACGAAGGCATTCCTCCTTAGGCAGATAGCATTACGAGTGCTCTGCCCTAATCAAATGAAAACAAACCAAACCCAAGTCAATAAAGTAACAAGAGATAAAACAATAAATAATGAATAATTAAAATTAAGTAAATATAAAATTATAAAAATGTTATTGAATTAAGCTTAATTAAAGATAAGTAAGTAAATAACGTATTCAAACATAGTAAAAATGAAAAAAAAAGTAATACTAAATAAAGAAAGGTCTTACAAATTAAATGAAATAATAAAATGAATAAAAGTTGAGTAGATTAATAGAAATAAACTTTGATACCGAGATAAAAGGAAGGTAAGTGCTCTAAACTAAATACTCTTATCATTCATATAAAATCGCGTCTTTATATTGGCTTTCAATCCATTTGTAGGCCCCTCAGCGGCCGAGCGGTAAAAGCTGCTGAATACTGGTAGCTCATACAGGTGCTTGCGTCTCGGCGAACGCGCTGGTTGCATGGGTATTTTCGTGGTTTTGTAAGGTGGATACGAGCCAGTTTCCCTTAAAAAGGCCTCCATGGGGCATCCCACCCTTCCCGTGTAATGCTAAATGACAGAACATGTAATAAATTTTAAAAAAAAAGTTTTGAAGCCATTTTGACCATACAAAAGCAGCTGATAAAAATTTTTCTTCCTTGAGGGATCGCATTTCGATATAGAAGGCTTTTGTCTTCAGCTACTCAAGTTTTCCCATTTTGCTCTTCCCAGAATAAATGAGGCATTCCTTCAGTATTTATTATCAATATCAGTTTCACTAACTGTTAAGAAGGATTTTCTCTTAATGCAATTCAGTTGTGCAACGTCTTATTTGCAATTACGATTTCACTCAAAAGGGTTCAGTAGTGTGCCGGGACTGGGCTGCGGCTGAATTTAAGTCCTGACTGCAGTGAGATTTTACATGTCTTAAAATACGAATTAACTGAATCCATCTTTAGCATCTAAGTTTATTCTTGCAATATCATACATTTGATCCAGCCAAAAGAAAATCGTTCTTCGGCACAGTTTCTTCAACTATTAACTAGATAACTTTCTTGCATTAACCTATAGTTTGAAAATATCGTATTTTTATCTTTATATTTACTGCACATACATTTTAACATTTATCATTTTAAAATAATTTTCTTTTTCTGAGAAAGACAAAAAAATAGTTATGCTTTGAAATAGGTCCTAAAAAAACAACAACTTCTGTTTCATTTTCAGTCATGTTACACATTTCTAGAAAAGATTCTGTACTTAATTTGAATGTTTATGACATTATCATGTGGAACTTTGAGATAAGCCCAGAAATGAGAATAAACTAGCCTAAATGTTCAGGACAATGTAAACCTCGAAGCAGAAAATTCGTTTTTATCCTAACTTAAAAAGGAATAATGTATTACGCTAAGTTCAATGGTAAGCATTCAGTGATCAGGGCGTTGTCAGTGTGGATAATGAAACTTCAGTATGTAGGTAATAGAAAAGTGTGGAGGAGAACATAGAGCAGAACATACAGCTAACATAAAATGTTCAATATCTGATAGTTAAATACACTCATGTCCATAAATTAAGGATAATACAAAATCAGGCAAAGGAAGAGTTAGAAGCAAAACAAATTTGACTTATTTGTAAAGCTTATTTACTAAACAAAAGGTAAAGAGCAAAAAAAGATGCTATATATGTTTGATATTATTAAAAAAATTAGCGATTTTTTTCTCCCTGGAGCAAATTAAAAAAAAAAAAAAAAAAACTATTTACAAAAAAAAAAAAAATAAATAAATAAATAAAAATAAAAAATAAATAAAATAAAATATTACATGGTTGGTATGATTGTTATACATTGTATGTCTCCCAGACGATGCAATACAGTCCGTACAACGCCTAGGCATGCTGAGTATCAAATTATCGATTTGATCTTAGGAGATATTACACCACTCAAAAAGCAATTCTCTTCGAAGTTCCGGTAGACATGTAGGAGGCGGTTGACGGGCTGCAACTCGTCGGCCAAGCATGTCCCACACGTGCTCTACTGGATTCAAGTCCGGTGAGAATGCTGGCCAGTCCATACGGGTGATATCCTCCGATTGAAGGCATTCGCTTACGATGTTTGCACGGTGAGTACGGGCGTTGTCATCCATAAACACAAATCGTGCGCCCATGGCGCCCCGAAACAAACGTACATGTTGTTCCAGAATGACGTCCCGTTAGATTTGGCTTGTCCTTTTTCCAATTTGAACATGCAAGTCAGTTCTGGAATCCAGAATAATTCCACCCCAAACGAGCTCGCCTGCCCCACCGTAACGGTGTCGTTCAATGATGTTTTCTTGGTGGTAACGAGTACCTGGAGCTCTCCATATGAAAGTCCGGGGAGAGTCAAACTGCAAGTTAAACCTGGACTCGTCGGAAAACATCACACAAGCCCACTGTTGCGGTGCCCACAATGCATGTTCCCTACTCCAGGCTAATCGCAGGCGACAGTGAATTGCAGTAAGTGGAACGCATCTGACAGGTCTACGAGCATATAGACCCATCTGCCCTAAGCGTCTGTACACGGTCTGCCTTAAAATTGTCGTACCAGTGGCTGAAGAGAGCTGACGAGACAGGTCTGAGGCTGTGCTACGCCTGTTTCTTTTGGCAGTAACTGCCAAATACAGCTCCTCATTCGGCGTTGTAACTCTGGAGCGACCTGTGCTGTAACGTCTACTCACATTACCATCATCTTGGAATCGTTGCCAAAGCCTGGAGATGACGCTCTGGGCATTTCCAAGTTCGTATGATACTTCCAGTTGGGTACGCCCACATTCCAGACGGCCGATAATTCTACCACGTAAAAAATCCTCCAAATGCGTCCTTTGTGTCATAACTATTCGGTTATTGCACTGAAATGCTTATACAGCGCCTGCGAACAATTTTACTTCTTTGCCTGCATTCCTTATATATCACTCTCTTACACTCTCATCATTGTGACGTACCATCGGTGTCATCTGGTTACTTCCTGAAATTTGCATATGTTTCTTGATGATGTGTGTAGTGATTTTACAGGTGATATATTTATTTTAGAGTTCGATTTCCGCGTGACTCCGAATTATCATTAATTTATGGACATGAGTGTATTTGGAATCTATATAAAAGATATGGCAAATATATGTATAAAGAGTAATACACAAATTTACAATACATAATA